ATGAAGAACATCAATAAAACCATTGTTCCTTTACTTTGTCATTGCATGCAACATTTGTTATATGTTCAAGGTCATGCTGATCAGCTGACAGCAGAAAAGACATCTTGAACTTTATCCATGGTGTGTGCATCTGCAGACATCTTGAACTTTATCCATAGTGTGTGCATCTGATTCATTGACATTTTTAAGAACTTATCAAGACGAGTAAATGCAATAATAAAAAAAAATCTTTTGATATGGACATTGTTCTAGTATTTTTATTGCTAAGTACTCTATTACACATTTTCTAGCATTTTCCACAAGTATGTTTTTTTTTTAAATGCAATTTTTTTGAAAATAGTTCTCAACTTCAAGATAGATATAACAAATTTTAAATACACAGCATCTGTAACTCCGACATTTATGTCGAATAATTGTGGTTAATATGACAATTAAACATGTTTGCCTCTTATTTAAAAACAGTATCATTTGAAAATTTAGTCAAAATGCTTGGTTCCCACACTGACTAGTAGAGTGCTGTTATAAATCAGTTGTTTATTACTCATGTAACCAAATTATAAAACTAAAAAAAAATTATTGACATTGACAAAATTTTGACATTTTTCGGTGATTTGTCATATGGGGTCATATAACTTTCCAAATACGTACACTTGACTGTACAATTTTATTTTTGTCAATTTTATCTAAATTGATATAGTATATACATGTAATCTGAATTAAATTGTAACAAAATTTCAAGTTTGCTTAGGTAAGTATATTTATCTGGTAAAAATGTCAGTTCTTGTTCTACAAAATTGTAGGTCAACTTGAGGTTAAAAGGTATGGGACTTTATAAAAAAAATGTATATTCAATGCAGATTTATGCACCCATCTCCTTATTTTCATACTTAGGGAAAATACAAAAATCAAATGTATGGACACATCTCCTGCTTAGGTTGGAAATCCAGAAGACATTTAGATATTTAGTTACATATTTTTGCCAAATGAGAGGCAGTAGTAATTACTTGGTAACTTAACCTATATTTAAAACTCTTAAATCAGTTTGAAGAAATAAAATGTTCCTTTGACTTTATAGAACTTCAAAAAGTCCAGAAAGGTCTTGACTTAAAAAAATCTATAAAACTGGTTCTTCAAGGGAAAAAAAAAATATCTAATGCATGTTCACAGGGTAAAGCAAAATTGTAATGAGTTGGAGCTCATTCATGTAATACGATAATGAAGATTTTTATTGATACACCACACTTTAAACTAGAACTTAACTATTACCATCTTTCATTGTATTCCATTTCTTATTACAATATTTAGTTAAAATCATTGATACAATTCAGTTGTGTCTGCATGTGTTTTGGGGGAACTATTTGTGAGGCCACCCTTAACAAATTCCTTGTTTGATGTTGCCTCCCATGTCTTTTAGGGTTGGGTAGGTAGGTAGGGATTATTTTTTTGGCCAACAACATAAGTGATAGGATTTTAGATGAGAAAACAACGTTTCTACCAAAAAAACTTAGAAAAAAAAATTTGAAATGATTTGTGTCATAATTTTTTTTCCGGTAGGCTGCTTTTTAGGTGGTTTAGAGGTAGGCAATGATCAAACAATTCATATTTTATCTTTGGACTGAGATTGGCTCTTACAGTATTTCAAAATGAATCATCCAAATTGGGGATCACAAGCATGACTAGTGAATCTGAATTTAGCAAACTTTTTTTCAAGAAAACTTACTAGAAATCTTCTTGTGAAATAATTAAAACACAGCTTGTTTGCTTTAGCAGTAAGGAAAAATGAAAAAAAGTTCTTATACATGTGTTTCATGTAGTCTTTTAAAAATGGTTTGGCAAGTAGGTTTTTTGTATGTTTGACTTATTTTTTATCTACTAAGGGACAGTTATAAATGTTGTGGTTCTTTAGCAGTTTACAACCTTTGAAAAGTAGACATATTTAACATTTTGGTCCCTGGTGGAGAGTTGTCTCATTAAGCAATCATACCACATCTTCTTAATTTTATATATAATATATAAAATAAGGAAACCAAATGTCAGGTATTGCTTACAAAGAGAACAGACAGACAGAATATTAAGTTTCATTGACCTAACAGAGCGTGTAACAGTTTAATTACAAGGAAAATTGATCTAGGATACCACTATGTCAAATTTGATATGGAACTTTACTCTGTGCAAGTATATATCTTGCCTACCAAATTAAGCAAAGGTAATGAAGATGGATACCTCATTGATCATCTTAGTGAACTATAAACTGTTTTCTGCAATTACGGTATTACCAGGAAAACATAAATTAAATTTTACATCTTTTGAGCTTTTCACTTGACTGCACTTATTAACCTAGGGTTAAAGTAATGTCAGAAAATTAAAACTTACATAAAATGAAAAAATACAAAATTTATGCAAAATTGTAAATTATAACAAATTTGTTAAATTAATTTCACTAATTAGTTGATGCATGTTGACAATGGTATAAATATGACACCTTTGATGAAGTGACGTGTTATATATTTGTCACCATATCCAATTCATTTTGTTTTAATAATTACTAAACAATATCACAGAAATAAATGTCACAAAAATATGCAAATCATGAAACATACCGTCTCATAATTATTCATTAGTACGATATCAACGTTTTTAGAGGTATTATGGAAGATTAAATTTTTGTGAAAAGATTTAAACGTAGCGATTGTGTTTACAAGATTTTTTCAAATGAAATTATATATGGTATGTATTTATATATATATATATATATTTATTAAATACCTGGAAGAAAATTTGATCACAGTTAGGAAATTTCATACTAACAGGTAAAACAATTTTTATTCATAATTTTTGGAAATGACGAAAAATTTATGATTTTTTTCTGCATGGTGCATTTAATTCAAAGGTATCGTTTAACAAGGAAGATGAGTTATAAGTATACATTTTTATGATAAGTCACCTATTTCAATATTCATGTCATGTTTTAATGGATCATTTTTAGGAAAAATTACTGGCTTCAAGAAAAACATTTTGGCTTACTCAGGTCCCTAAATAACTTTTTCACAAGAGAACATTTTTTTATAGGAATAGTTGATGTTTTAAAGGATTTTTCTTTTTTTTTGACCTCTAACATACATGTGTCTAGTAAGTTTTTCACAAAATTTCTATAAATATATCTACAAGGCTTTTAAATCCTCTTTTAAAAACATTTTACTGAACTTCCTTCATTTTGAGACAGTGGACTCATACCTGCCAACTTTTCATAATGTCCATGGGGGATTTTAAGGGCAAGAGGACCTGAATGCTCCTCTTATAATTGTTATTGGGAGATATTGTCATTAGTGTTTTTTATCTACTACTGTATTGTTTGAATGAGTATATATGTGCTTAAATACCCTTTTAACTCATTTGAATGCTTGTTTTTAGGTCTTCAGTTTATATCATAAAGAATTTCAAAATCCGTCAACACATCTCATGGGGGATATCCCCGATGAATCAGGATAGTTGGTAGGTCTGGTGAACTTATCTGTATATGGTTTATCTTGAAGACTCTGGTCAATTAAAATTGTGTAAAAAAAAATTATAATCCTAACTTTTATTTCCCAGATATTTGCATTTAACTAAATATACAAAATGATCCAATAATTTTTTTTATGCCTTTTAACAAGTCTTGTATTGTTCAATCTAATAGAATCACAGAAAAATCAATAAATCAATAAATTGATAAAATTCTGCCAGATTGCCATGCTTGACAGATTAATATACATGAGTTCTATCATGTCAACTAAGAGGATTTCAAACAAAACAATTTAGTAAATACTTGTTTTTCTTCATTAAAAGTTTGTTCCATTGTGTCATATATCAATAAGAATTATAGAAAAGCTATTTCCATAGATATACTAAAGATTTTTCTCTCGAAATACATCTTTTTTAAGAAGTTCTTTCATTTTCACATTATCCTCTTTCAATTATTGAAAAGACATGCTCAGTCTTTTGTGAAGCACATAATTTTAGTTTTTGAAAAGAGTATTTAACTATTACCATGGAATCAATCAACAATTAGTTTGCACCTTTTAAAAAGAAGATTTTTTTTTTGTTTTTTTTTTATTGTCTGTATATATATCTCGTTACATAGGTAAGATTACAGAAAACTGGGTTAGAGAATTTATTGGTTTTTTGTTTGACATTTTTAAAAGTTAAACCACTTTTATGACTTATATAGTTGGTAAGCAGAAAATTTTCATATTAATAAGTTATGAAAGTGAAAGTTGTTATCTTTTATTTTTTCTTGCAATATATATAGATGAAAGTTTTTGTAATTTTTAGACAGATCAGATACAGGCTTAGCCAATCACGTTTCATCAATTTTTTGGGGGGTGATGTTAATTAGTAGACTTAGAAATGAAAGTAGCTGAAGAAATTTTTTGTATCAAAACTTTTTTGATACACTTATATTCTGATCAGTTATATAAGATTGCTGTCACCTACATTTTGAACCCCAGATTGTATTCCATTGACCTCTTCTTGTAGTCACACTAGTCTGGAGTTGTCAGGTACTGGTCTGACTGTTTGACCAATACATTTTATATTTGAACAACAGTGTCTAACACTTGCCCTAAGGGAGAGGGTTAATTTACAGAGCAGCCTATGATGTTGCATTTTTTTTGTTTTTTTTTGCAGCATTTCATTCAGAATATAGGTAATTTGTATATTTTGCAGTCATTTATATTTCTAGACAACTTACATTCAAGATGTAAGTGTGTCAATGGTTTGAATGTGTAAAATGAGATCAGATCTGGAGAAACAGACTATCTCAGAAATCCTGTATAAGAAATGCACCTCCAAAATCTTTTTAATTTTTTTCACAGATTTATTTTTAAGGTTTTCCATACGAAAACATGGACTTGCATCTCTACAATTGTGAAGGATTTTCAATAGAAAACTATAGTTTACATACATTGAAATGAAATTTGAATTAATGACATTAAAATTGTGATATATTTTTTATCTTTCAGAAAATAGGGGGCCACAGATTTTCTTCTGAAGATAGCTGGGTCCAGGGTTGCTGGAACAATATGGCTCTTAAAACAAAGCCTCGGTCCCTTGATGCCATTTGTGCCAAACTGAAAAGGATTAGTAATGATAATGATGGCAATAGCCCCCTACCATCCACATCTACACCATACAAACCTGTAGTCCCCACTGACCTGACAACTAATGGACACAAGGAAAACAACAACAATTTAGATGTTCTCCGATCATTATCTAATGGAAATGACGTGGATGAAAATGACGATACCAACTGTAGAAGTACCTGTGGATCTCCTGTGGAATTTAACGAAAATTCTCAGAATAATGTCTCATCATCTAGTCGTAGGAAAAGGAAACTGGCGGTTCCTAGAAATATTAATCAGGTACGGGACAGAATAGACCAGATAGACGATTTCGATGAGAAAGATGAACTTGCAGAGTACACGATTAATAATCAAAACACTACATTCCCCCCAGAAAATGAATCTGACGATGTAGATAGCTTAGAGAACGAGTCCGATTTATCATGTGATAAAAATAACATTTCTAATGACAGCGGAGTAGCTGGAGACACCTATGTACCTCCTGTCACAGAAAAGTCAATTGATATAGCAACAGCTATGGCTGCTGCTTCTGCTTTACGCCACTCAAAACAGATTCCACCCGCTCCATCACCGTCATTTTTCAACAGTAGAAAACATTCCCGTAAACCTTCAAACTTAAAATCTAGTCTTATGAATGCACCATTAGATTTATCAATGACTAAATCTTTTGGAAGTAGTGATAGTTTTAACTCTATGAATGCAGCCGATAGTGAAAACGAGACTGCAGAAGATTTGTCATTAACTGCAGAAGATTTGTCCAAAACTGCTGATGTTTCTAATACTGCTGAAGATTTGTCAAAAACTGCTGAAAATGTTCCAAAAAATGCTGCTGTAAAAAGTCCAAATGTAGATATTTCTGTTTTAAAAGACTATGCTGAAAGTACAATGAATGAACTATTGCAAATGTATGGTTTTAGTGGTAATTCTGATGGCCTGACAAAACAGGTGCCCCTAGCTAACTTTAACTCCAACCAGATTCTTCAGACGACCATGGCTCAGGGAAAAGACATCGCCAAAGTCCTGACAGCTGTCTCACAACAGAAGAATGGGCTGAATAACCTAAGCATGGCCGACAAGAAAGGCATCTATGCAAACTTTGTAAATGCCGCTCAGAAACTGAAGCAAGGAGATGGTATGTATATGCTATTGTTATAAAATATATGCATTAGTCTTTTCATTTTCAGATCAAAAAAAAGTTCTGGTTGTATTTGAAACTTCTTTATCCCTACTAAAACTCACTGCACAGAAATTTTTATAGGCTGCATACCGATATTTTCGATTTACCAAGGTAGCATTATAAATTGAAGTTGATTGAATGGCGATAGAAAGGAGCAAGTTCGGTAAGGGTCTTATTTGGCCCTGATCATTAAGTTCAATGTTTCAAGATAAAAAATGTTTTAAATTGATGAAAACACATGTAAAAAGTTTGTTTTTCATTCTGTGTGTCTGTTTATCCGTCTGTCCCGCTTCAGGTTAAAGTTTTTGGTCACGGTAATTTTTGATGAAGTTGAAGTCCAATCAACTTGAAACTTAGAACACATGTTCCCTATGATATGATCTTTCTAATTTTAATGCCAAATTAGAGTTTGACCCCAATTTCACGGTACACTGAACATAGAAAATGATAGTGGGAGTGGGGCATTCGTGTACTATAGACACATTCATGTTGTCTATGTTTTATTTTAAAGCGTTCATTTTTACATCCAAATTGGTCAAAAATAGAGATTTTTGCGAATTTTAACGAAATTGTCCAAATTTCAACCAGATTTAGGCCTATGAAACATAGAGCGCAGGCATTGATTGACAAACTAAATATTTAAGTCAGATATATGTAAAATGTTATAAAACAAACATTATGATAAAAGATATTTTTTGTCAACGCATTTCCTTTATGTTTCCAATAAAAAAAATCAATGGAATTTATCCGTTTTCACTGAATTTTCATGGAAAATCAAATTGAGTGCTATTTGAGACGTCATGAATAAAATGCAAGTATGTGAATTTTCAACAAAAAGACATATTTCCTATCTAGTCATTGTATTAGATAATGATTCATTGTAATATTGGTCAATAAGCCTGATTTGAAATTGTATCTAAAAATAGAGGCCATTTTAGGGCCTTATTATTGAACCTACTCCTTTAAGGTGTCCTGAACATTCAAAATTATAAAAACTCTCTTTTCTTGCATTTTGAATTATTCTTAAAAAAAATGACTTCATCCAGGCTAAAACCTCTCCAGAAAAATATACTAATTAGTACAGTTCACTGAGAGGTAATTAAAAGGTAAATAATTTTTGTTAAAATTTAGTTAAACTTTGTCTATGTAATTCAATCACACTGCATTTGTTTAAAATCTCTTTATTTGTAATTAAATAAATGTTCTTTAAAACAAATAAATCTATTTTATACAGCCACTCAACTGTAAATAAGATCGATCAATTAATTTATGTCTTATTCGTCTTTACAAAAAAGTGCAATTTTGAAATAATCCAAACCTTTTAAAAGCCCTTTATCTGATAAAAATTTATGTATAGAATTTATTTAGTTCGATTATTGTTTGGACTTATTGGCAAATTAAATATTCATTAAAAAGATTTATACAGTATTTAACTATTTTTCACATAAACGTATTTGGATTAATAAACTGTGATATCTTTCAGAGTCACACACCGCTTACTTCTATAGTTACCAAAGTCAAGTTTTAATCTATGTAAAAAGGTCACAATATATACAAAATACCTAATTAAGTAATATAGATCTACATCGCTATAGCAACTTGTCCACAATGTGTAAACTCTATTTGAAAATGTGTACACATATGATTAATTTGTATTTTAAATTCTTTTCAGACTGGTGGATTTTGATAAAAAAAAATACACCCTTTATTTATATATCTTCTGTCACTCATGTCAAAATATTGAATTTTTCATATATACTTATCAAAATTGAATTTTTGTTAAAAATTGATTTTTAGTTTAAAAGTCGTATAAGTGTAACCAAAGACATTTGAAAGTCCTTGGGCTAATTTTGTAAAGAAATTAAAATCTTTGATAAGATTTAAAAACTAAAGGAAAAAAATTATAAAGTTTTTCAGCTATTTAATAATAAGGATTTAGATTTTATTGAATAATAGTTTTGTGAGGTCAGAATATTTTCATATTTTCCGACCCGACAATGAAATGTGTTTAACATTAGTATAAGTTGCCTTAGTAACTTTAAACACCTATTGTACTAATTTCAATAAATTCTTTTAAGCTTTTTAAGTTAACTTAGTTCTGGTCAAATAAACTTCTGCAAAAATATGAGAACTTTTGTAATATTAAAAGGCAGTACTTTTTAAAGACTTATGTTTGCAAAATAGTTGAATTCTTAAAAGAGAAAATGGGTTTTGGCATGAAACCAACTTAAAGTAAATGTTTGAAATTGGAATGAATTGAAATTCAATAAAATTTTTATTTCAAATGGTAAAACTTTGATTTAAACACAAAAAGATCATATTTTGAAAGTTTTTAATGGTATTAAAATTTGTAACTAGAATAGAAATATGCAGTCTTACTTTATTGTAGTAGTTTTGTTGTAGGAAATTGTCAGATTTTGTAAATTCTTAGAGCAAAGAAACTGTATAAGTGTAATAAAAACTAAGTAAAGATGTGCCGAACTTGCACCTTGGTAACTTTATATAGAGATTCTAGAATGTCTCCATTCATTATAATATAACATAAAATTTGAACTTTTTAATACATTTTGAGCCAATTTTTTTTAAATGTGCTGTACATTATTATATAAGGAGACAAATTCACAGTTACCATGATAAAGCCTTCATGTGCAGTATGGGTTTTGCTCATTGTTGAAGGCCATACAGTGACCTATAGTTGCTTAATTACTTCTACATCATTTGGTTTCTGGTAGAGATTTGTCTCATTGGCAATCATACCACATCTCTTTATTCTTATATTATAAATGTTCTTAAGAATTCAACAATCAATCAGTCAATTATTGAATCAAATTGAATCAATCAATCAGTCAATTATTGAATCAGATCGAATCAATCAATGCATTATATCAATATGCAGCTATATATAATCATTTTTGTTGGCCCTTTGTTTTCAAAAGTTGCAAAAAATTCTACATGTTATCTGTTGAGTCAAGGAGGTACCGAACATTTAGACTTATATAGATTTGGCTCGTTTAATTTTCATAAAATTGTTTACAAAATGTTAACTTTGACCTGTTGGCAAAGAATTTCAAAAAATTTGAAGCACACTATGAATTTACAGGAATAATTCAGGGGTTCAGATTTGCTTTAAATAGTGAAAGGTCCAGGACCATTTGAAATTTTCAGTGAAAGATCCTCCATAAGAAATCAATGGTCCTGTATAAAGCATCAGTGTAAAAAATGGTAGGTCCTTGACTTTTGTAATTCAAAAATGAAAAGTCCCCTCCTAGAAAAGACAGGTCCCAGACCTCGGCCTCACACTAATTTGAACCCCTGTAATTTCATTGGATATATAGCAGTTTGACAGACACTAATTTTGATCATTGAGAAGTTTGATTTCTCTAAATACTAATAGTATGTGGTTAAAATGTTCAGCTGATTTTTAAAGAGTAAACTCCTGTAGGTGTTCGATACCCCCTTAAAATTCATTCCTCAGAATATGATTCGAATTCCAGTGGTCCAGTTATTGATGGGTATCGAGTATCCATCAAGGAGACAGCAACTCTCCAATGCAAAAACACAAAAGATGTAGAGGTCCAAATACAGTCTTAAACAAAGGACAAACTTGTGTCTGAGCAATATAATGACAAGCTCTAAATTACTCTAAGCAGCTCAACTGCAAATTGCTTGTTGGAAATTAATGGAACTACCTATAGATTCTACAAGGCTGATATAATTGAAAAAACTTCTCTGTTTTCTAAATTGCTGGGGACTATTTCAAACTCTGAATAATTTATTGTAACTTATTGAATATATGGCATTGTTGCCACACTTCAACATACATACAGGTTTTCATCTGAAGTTTCAGGGACTATTTCAAACTGAATAATTTATGGTAACATATTAATGATGGCATTGTTGCCATACTTCAACATACATACAGGTTTTTCTTCTGGAGTGTCAGGGACTATTTTACACTAAAAATAATTATACATGTATAATTTTGAAATGGCAATATTGCCAATTTTAACATACATATAATAGGTTTCCTTTCTAAGGTGCCAGGGACTATTTAACCGTCAAAATGATTATACAAAGTATCATGAATTATGAAACTGGCAATATTGCCAATCTTAACATAGTCATACAGATTTTCTTCTGAAGTGTCAGGGACTGTTTCACACACTTAAAATAATTATACTTGTATAATTAAGTCTACCAAGCAAAGTTTGGAGACCTATTGGGTTTGCTCAGTTCTTCTTCTTCTCAGACTTCTGCTACTTTTGAATTTGAACTTGTCTGTGTCCATTCTCCAGAACCGCTAGTCAGATTAACTTAGGGTTCCACAATATGCTAGACTAACATGTCTAGTGGTGCAACAATCAGGGTTTTGTTTGTGCAATGGGGTATTTTGAGAGGAAAAGGAAAGGAGGGGTTTACAATAGAATCTATGGAATTTTAATTTTCTCTATTTTCTAATGTTTATAACTTGAGAACAGTTAGTGATAGACACATAGGGGGCTTCAGTAATGACCATGGGGATATATGGCCTACTGAAAGGTCAAAAGTTTTGACCTTGAACTTTTTTTCTTCAATAGGGAGACAGACTTCTTAGGGGTTTATACTTATAGAGATTTGTTTAGGAGACTTAGTAACAGCATCCTGTAACAATCATTTCTTGCTATATATGAAACGGACAATACTGCTAATCTTAACATAGTCATATAGATTTCCTCTGAAGTGTCAGGGACTGTTTCACCCTTCAAAATAATTATACATGTATAATTATGAAACTGGCAACTTCCAATCTCTAAAAAAACATACATCCAGTAGGTTTCTTTTCTGAGGTGCCAGGGACTATTTTATCCTCAAAATAATTATACATGTATGATTATGAAACTGGCAATACTGCCAAACTCTTAACATAGTCATACAGATTTTTTTCTGAAGTGTCAGGGACTGTTTCACCCTCAAAA